GCACGTAGGGTGGGTGCATCCCTGGCGCTGCAGGGATGGGTGTGCGTGGCAGGGGCGTGCAGGGCACCGAGGGCCGAGCAGCACCTGTGCGGCGGGGCTAGGGGATTTGTGACTTCTCCAGCTCAGGGTGGGAGTTTGCTGGCGGGATGTCTTGCCCCGCTCAGAGTGGAGATTGCAGGATCACTCCCTGTGCGTGTGGGTCTATGGCAGAAGGGGAAGTTGAGGCACAGAACTTCCTCTGGCATGGTGGGCAAAGCTGGGTTCCCCTTTCCCTTTTGGGAACCTGTACTCCCGATGTGAGCACTGAACTGGGCAGCCTCACCTGGGATTTGGGGGTGCAGGAGGCAGTGCACTCGGTGCCAGTCCCGGTGGGTGCCATTTCTGCGTGATGAGGGTGATGCTCTGTCAAGGCAGGACACCCCCCACCCCCGGTGTCCCCCGAGCTGGGACGGGGGAAGCTGGCGCGTGGCAGAGGTTGGTGCCGAGGGCACTGTGCCCAGTTGTCCCCAGTCAATGGGCTTGTTGTGCCTGGTGCTTCTGCTGCTGGGTGCCAGCTGGTATCCCAGCAGCAGTGGAAGCCCCAGTGGAGACTCCTCCTGCGGATGCACTTAATTCCCTCTCAGTTGCCCCCGTGGAACAGCAATGACCGCGGTTTGGGGGACCAGGCAGGCGAGGGGCTGTGGCAAGAGGTTGCTGTGGGTCCTTCCTCTCTCACGCTGCGGCTGCCGGCGTGGCCAGCTGTTCTCCCTCGGGAGCCCGGGGCGGACAGCGCTGCTGGGGTTGGGTGCCAGCCCCACCAGGGATGGGGAGCGAGCCCCGGGGTGCTGGTGGCGCCCCACGGCAGAGCCCCGTGGGGGCTGGCAGCTGGGCAGAGGATATGTTTGCCGAGCCAGAAACTCCCCCCGCAGTGCCCATCGCCCTGGCATCATGCCTGTGGCCTCGGTTGGGGAGCAGAGAGCCGGATGTCTCTTCTGTCTCCCTCCCTCCTTGCTTCCTAGGGGGGAAACTGAGGCCTGGGAGCGTTTCCCAAGGCCGGGGCGAGTTTCCATGGCAATGGGAGCGGGGGTCCGGGCTCCCAGCTGCCGGCAACCGCCGAACAAGGGAGAAAGCGGGACATTGATGGGAGCCCGGCCCCTTGGGCGCGCGTCCCAGCCCGGCTGAAAATAACCCTCCTGGNGGCCGGCAGCAGGCCCGACCTCCTGCTCCAGCTGCCAGGGCAGAGCAGGCAGCAGGGTCTGCTGTGAGTGGGTGCCTGGTACCCTTGAACTCTCCTAAACCACAGCGGAAGCTGGGGGAAGGTTTTTTTTTTTTTTTCCTGGAGAAAAGGCAGCTTTGCTCTTCCTTTTCCCTGGGCTCGTGGGAGCTGTGGCACTGAACAGAGGATCCTTGTCCTCCGGGGCCAGCCCCGCGCCTCGGGCTGTTGTACTGCGGCCGAAACCCCGGGCAGCAGTGAGGTGCCGGGAGCCTCTGACCTCTGGCCCAGCATACAGCATTGTGGCTGTGTCCAGCCGTGTTGTGGCAATTTTTCTCTGAACAGTTCAGGAGTGCTTGGTACTTTGGTCTTTGTTGTTTTGCTTTTGTAAATAAAAGTTTTAAGTTAAACTTGGTAAGGTGGTGCTGACAGTCCAGACAAGGATCCCACCATGCTGCGCAAATCCTGCTCAGCTTCTCACAGCATGATTAGACCCCTTGCCCACTCTGAGCAGCAGCTGGGAAGGAGGTTTGGAGTGGCCAGAGGAGCCCGGGCAGGGACAGTGTCTCTGGCAGCAGTGCTGGGGCTGGGCTGTCTGGGCAGGACAGGCTGGGGCAGAGCCTGGCGCTGGCACTTCCCCACACCCTCAGCTCCCTGGGGCCGCTGGGTGCAGCGGGTACACCGGGGCGGCCCGGTGCTGCTGGGCTCTGGCACCGGCTCAACATCTTGCAAAGGGTGTCCCTCTGCCAGGCACTGTGGGCTCTGGAGGTTGTGCATTCTCCCCTCTTACTCAGCCGTTCATTGAGCTGGCTCAGGGAAAAGCTTTCAACAAAATGTCTGGGCTATGGGCTTTGCAAAAGTCTCCTAAAAACAGGACCTGCCTCGTGAAGTGTCTTTGAGCAGGTCTGTGCTACCAGGCACCTCTTTAGGGAGAGCGCCCAGGACAGACCCTGGGTGCTGCACGCCCATGCTCAGCTGCAGCCCTGCTCCCACTGCCAGCCCTGAGCCCGCAGGTGCCGCAGGGAGTGGGGGGTTGAAGCAGCTTCCGCATCCCCCGCCGGGCGCGCCGAGGCCTGGGGGTGCAGGGTGGGAGCTGTGCAACCTGTTACCAGCCCCTGGAGCTACCGGAGCCTCCTCAGCCTGGTATTTGTAAGAGCAGGGTGGAGTGTGGTGGGTATGGCTGGGGGGCTAGCAATGCCCTCCTCCTCCTCAGGCAGCTGCCAGCCTGCTGTCCCACTGTGACTCAGCCTCCCCGGGGCAAAGGGGGCTCCTCATAAGCAGAGGAGCAGCCCCTACAAGACCATGAACTACTGTGAGTTTGTAGCCGAGCCCTGTCCTAACCAACTGCAGGCTAGACTTTACACCATGCCTCAGTTTCCCCCTGAGAAGTCCCATCCTGCCCATGGAGCCGCCTGGGTTTTGAACTTCAGTTGTGTCCATGAGGGATGATAGCTGTCAGGGGCAAAGCATCCTAGGGGGCACTGCCCACTGGTATGGGTTTTGGGGGACAGGAGGAGGCTCTGCTTCATACACAGACCGTGCCAGGATAGGAAGATTTAGGAGAAAGTCTTGTTCCATCCCTTTGCTGAGCAGCCCTGCCGGAGGGCCACTGCTCCCACTGCAGCCTGGCTAATTAGGGTGCTGTCAGTTAGTGCTAATGACTGGCAAATACTGAATGCTCTGGCTAGGATGCTGTGCTGCTCTGGTGCTGGGGAACTGCAGGGACTGAGCCTTCATTCCCCTCTTCGAGCTCTAGGGGTCCCAGCTCGCCTGCTCTCAGCCCGAAGGGAAGATGCTGCAGTGTGGATGTGGCTTTGTGCCAGTCTGGCCTGAGACCTGACAAACTTGTTTTGTGCCAGCTGCAGCCTGGCCCAAGGACACATCCTGTGCTGGGGTGGAGATGGGGGTATGCTGGCAGCACCCCCGGGTGGAGGAGCAGGTTGCACCAGGGCTCAGGGTGCATCCTGGTGCCCCCCTTCCCTGGCAGGACTGGGGCAAAGCTCTCCTGGGGCGCAGGTCCGCAAAGGCTCTTCCTGCTGCCTTGGCAGAGCGGGGCATGACTCTTCTGGATGCAGAAACACTCCCCATACCTTAACTTCCAGGAAGTCTGGAGTGTCTGAGGTGAACTGATGGGGGTGCCAGGCAGGGATGCCCATTCTGAATTCTCCCACTTTGCCCCAGGGGTACCCTGTGACCGGTGTCACCTGAGCCCTGACGTTTTGCCGCCTCTCACACTGCCCAGTTCTCTGTGACACCGGCTGGCACTGCTAAGGGATCCCCCTGTGCTGTCCTGTGGCCCAGGTGAGATCAGTGGGGGGGGGCTGGCAGGCACCAACCAGCCTTGCATCAGGGCAGGGTGACAGTGTCCCTGCAGTGAGTGACACCAGGGCTCAGTGGTGCCAAGCCTGCTGCCTCTTCATCTCCCCAGCAATGAGGGTGCCAGGGACTCTTGCTTTGTTGTTTGTCCCCCAAAACACTGCACTGTGACCCTGCCTTGGTGGGAGAGCTGGGGCTGAGGTGACGATCATTTATGGGGTCAGCAATTGCTGCCCATGCCGGCGAGCTGGGAGGTGCAAGGGAAGCTAAGCCCGCCCCAGCTCGACCTGCAGAGCGGATTTAGCAGAGGAAAGAGGCTTAGGGAGGGGATTGGGGCTGTGCCGGGCTGGGGGGCCCCCCCACGTGCCTGTGTCTTTCCTTCCCACACATCCACTGCTGCAGGCAGGGGCTCAGAGCAAACAGGGGATGCTCCGTGCTGGGGGACAGGGTCAGGCCATGGGGCCAGGCTCTGGGAGCCCAGAGATGGCAGCGAGGAGGAACCTGGCACCTCGGCCTCCCCGACCCCCCCTGCCACAGGGGTCACCAGCCCTCCGTGCTGGCCCCCCGAGACCTCCTGCTTGCTCCATCCAGCCAACCAAGCAGCATCAGGTGCCTGCACCGAGGGAGGTAAAGCACCCGCTGATATGGGGGTACGTGGGGTGGCACGGTGCGGTGAGGGGCTGGGGGCGGTCCCCGGGGAGCTGGGTGGCAGCAGCATCCCTCAGGTGGGCAGGATGCCGGCGGCAGCCTAGCCTGTGGTGGGAGCGGGCTGTGTTTGTACGCGTGGAGATGTGTGTGTGTGTGTGTGCACACCTGCGCCGTGGCAGCCGGGCTGGGGAGTGTGTCACCACAATTTGGGGCCGCCCTCGGGGCCCTGCCAGGGCTGAACAAGCCAGCCCGGGGTGACGGTGCGGCTGCCCTGCTGCCGCCGCAGTCAGTGAGATCACTTCCAGGCGACACAGCTGCCAGGAAGGCGGCAGGAAGGTGGCAGGCGGGCTGTGACAGTGAGCGGGGTGATGTGATGGAGGTGAGTGGGGGAACCTGTTCCCCTCTGGGAGCTTGTTTTGGGGACCCACCACTTTCTGGGACCCTCAGTATGGGGTAGTGGGCGTAGGGGAGGCTGTGGTACTGGTCCCAGGGATGTGGGGCCAAGAGTGGTGTCCCATAGGGCTGAGGAACGCCAGTGTCCCCACAGAGGGGAGGGACACCTTGTGTTCAGTATTGCTGTCACACCCTGGAGGGTAGAAGACAGTGCTGCCTATCCAGTGGTTATCATTGTGGTGCGACCCCCCTGAGGGTGGGAATTACAGGGAGGTGAGTCAAGGCTGGCAGGGCACAATGCCATTTGTCCCCTTGTACGGTACCTAATCATTTTGGTGTCAGTTAAGCCTGGGCAAGCCAGGACGCCGACGAGTGGAGGGGGTGTGACCCAAATCCATGCCCAAGGCTGTGGGGACAGGGGCTGTCTCTGCTCATCCCGCACAGCATCGCGCTCCCGGAGCAGGCTGGTGAGGGTTTTGGGGTG